CATTTACAACTGAAAAGTTGAAACTTGAAAACCTTGACTGCGCCCTAGTTTTCCCCTTTTCTTTTTCTTTTTCTGTGATATAACACACTTGTGTTAATTGGACCCCCATCTTTGCAATATATCCCTACAGGGTACTGTCCAACTTTGCAAAATGCCCCCATCCTTGCCAACTTTTCCGAGGCCAGATCAAACAACACACCCGAGTTCCACTCGGGCCTACCAGCTGAGCAGTTGAGCAGTTAAAAAACAGACCACCGCCGAACAATTAAAAAGCACAGACCCTGCGCCCCCCCCCCCCCCCCCCCCCCCCAAAAAAAAAAAAAAAAAAAAAAAACACAGACCCGAGTTGGACTGCGGAATAAAGGGCCTTGCCACACTACTCTCGGCTTGGCCATTTTCGGAAGTGCCAGCAGCATCGCCACACCAGCTTCCCAGTTCAACCTGTCAGATTAAATTCAGGACAGAGCTGTCAGAATGGGACAGCTCCCGAGAGCACTCCCGAACTCAGCGCCTGCAAAGCTCTTTTTTCGAGAGACCTCCTTTGCTTCTCCGAGTTTCATCGCAGATTCGGGAGTGGAGCCGGAAGGGACAAACGACTTCTGCCAGACTGCTTCACACTGATAGTGTCCATATGTGTGGCAAATGACATTTTCAGAATTTGAGCGGCCGGGTGGAGAGTGTAGTGTGGCGAAAGGCACTCCGGAGCGGGTTTTCACTTCCGGGAGCACTCCCGAAAATTTTCCCAAGTAGGGTGTGGTGTGGCCGGGCCACAAAATAAATCTGAATTACCTGGGGCCAGTCAATTCAGTGGAGGCCGTGGCCCTTTGTTTGTCGTTTCTGATGAATCAAAAACAGAAAGAAATGACTTTTCTCAGAGGAATGGGGTCATAATTGCGGTGAGTTGCATCCAGGAAAGTACGCCCTACCGAATTCCACCGCAAGTACCCCGGGGCAAGGTCCCACTTGCACGGATTAGGAGATTTCGGCCGTTGATCTTCCCTATCGACGGTCAATATCGCATACTATGATAATTGGTGCAAGTGGGACCTAGCCCCCGGTCAGGTCAGGGTACACGCTCTCCTACACCTCCAGCAGGCCTGCAGTCTTCCTCCGAACACAACGCACCCTCATTTTGATTGCATAGGGAGGGAAATTCAGTTTCCATACATTCATTACCAGGGCCCCTTATGTTTGGGGGGGGGGGGGAAGATGGTAGGTAAAGCATGCTGGCAGTTGAAATTTCGGTACTCCGTTCAGTGACTGAGGGCATGCATACTCACACGAGGACCTTTCCGACAAAGCTCTGGACGTCATTGCGGTCAGGTCCATCCTGGTCTCGCCGTAATTGCAGTCAGATGCATTCTGAAGACTTTAAAAGTCCTAATGTGACTACGCAAAGTCGACATTCTCTCAACAAACAAGTGCCACTGGCTGCTTTTCTCACTGGGAGACACTCACACCTGGGCTTTGCAGGATGTATCTGCGCGGAAAAGTGGACAGATGATGTCTCAGAAAGTCCGAACATAAGAGGGCACCACTTACTACCGGCTTCACCCGAATAGAACGCCATGTCATTCTCGATGCATCTGGACTGCATATTGGTCCAAATGCAGCTATACTGGCCGGGCGTTCTATTCGGGTGAAGACGGTAGGGGCAGGCCGTAGTAGTTCTATGCTCATGCTGCCTAATAAGAATGAACCTGGCTGTTATTACGGCACGATCCCTGCTTTCCAAGCATTGAAACGAAGCACCGGCGGTGCCTGCCCCTTGATTCTTTGGTGGAGAAGCCGTCCACCTCCCACTCACGCTATGGTAGTCGTGGCCCTCTTCAAAGACGTGAAAACTTGGGAAAAAAAAAAAAAAAAAAAAAAGGACGTGAAAACGGGAGGGGGAGGAAAAACAAAAAAAAAGAAAGAAAAAAAACAAAAAGGGGAGAGCCAAACTGCCCTCTGGCAGGCGAGAACACCAAAAGAGGAAAACGACTCTCTTCTTTTTATAAAGGAACTTTTTTTCTTTTTTCTTTTTGTTTTTTTTTTTGAAAAGAAAGGAACTTTTTCCTACCGGTAACGAACCCTTTTTTCTGATTTGAGAGTTTTTCGGACCCTCGTCCT